GAGACTTACGGTAATAGCTAATATATGGGAAATTTGCTAAAATATTATAAGCTGTCTGCTGTTATTTCAAACCTGTTGTTGTTCCACTTCCAGGGTAAGGTGGGAAGGGTGGAGGGGATATGGATTCCACTCTAACCTCCTAAATTTTGTGAACAGAGTTTAACAATGAGCTTATGTGTGTGTGTGTGTACGGTCTACACACGGGGACTATTTCAACATCTTACATTCATATATTTCTATTTATTTTGTGTTAAAATAACTTTAATTAGGTTAGCCTAAATAAATAAAACAAACATAAGATTATTGCAACCTTAAATGGCAATTTTACAATGAATAGTTTTCTGCAAGGTTCCTTTTCAAGACAAATATTTTGAGTTGAGGGTTCCAATTAATTATTTATGTTGAAGGACGTTAATTTGTGTTTTCTGAAAAAATTCCATTTCCAGGAGGATGAAGATTTAAAACAGTTGCTGGATCGGGTAGAGAGGATTGCTCGATGTCCAGTGTGCCTGGAGTTGGTCAGAGCACCAATCGTCTTGTGTGTCAACGGACACGTAACTTGCGGCCGGTGTAGGAATAATGCTGGCAACTGCCATGTGTGTCTTCAACCGTTCAGTGACGTCTCTTCCAGGGTCTTGGAGGAGGTGCTGTCAGCGTTGCCACAGCTCTGTCCTAATGAAATGTGTGGGGTTGTTACCTTCTTGGATAATCACTCTAAGTACTGTGTTTACAGACAGATAAAGTGTACCAATTGTCAATGGTTTGGAGCCATCATTGAGTGGATTGAACATGTTAAAACACACAATTCCAGTGTTCTAAAATTAAATGTCACCAAATGCTTATACATCAACGATTTCCTGGACGGTTGGAAATCTAAGTATTTCAATTATCCAATCGAAGACCAACATTTTATTTTTAAATGTTGGAAGAAAGGAAACAAATTGTATCACAGCTTCAGACATGTTATGTGTGAGAGATCTAGTGTTGAGTACGGTGTGATATTTGAGTACAATCGTGGCCAGCAAACTGTGTATAAAACTTTTGTCGAAGTCCTACCATACGAAGATGATGAGTCCATGGAGACAAATGCAGCTGTTTTTCCTATCCATGAATTGAAGGAACTAGTTAGTGAAAAAGGCAGTTTGCCAATCTCTATCACAGTAAAAACTCTTTCTTCAGGGAAAGTAGAATAACTGTGTGAAACCTTTTGTTGCACATTTGTATAAGAAATAAAATAACACAAGCGAGGATTTTTTAATAATTTTATGAGCATATATGCATTATAATTATATTAATCAGAGGTCTAGCATATCAACAGATTTTCTTGTTTAGTATTCAATTAAATAACCTTGGGAAATGTTTAGCTATAAGGTAAAAAAGAATATACAGTAAATAAGTTTTTTCTTGAGACTTTGTTATCAGTTTAGCATTTTTTCCCTTTAAAAAACCTCTTGAAAAAAAACCTCCTGAAATCCTGTCAGTCTTAGGGATGTTTTGCAGATTTTGTGAGGAACGTACTACAAAAGCTTACTTTACTCACCAAAATGATAATAAAAAAAATGTAAATCTACAATTAAGTTTACAACCCTTCATATACTAAATTATTTGATTTTTAAGCTCTGTACACATGACCTAGACAAACATTGCTAATTATTTGTTTTGTAAAAAATGGGAACATCTTTTTTTTACCCCATATAATCCTGTTCCCTTAGTCTGATCATGTTGGTCTGTGATGTTCGAATAAACATTGTTTAATATGCAGTTTGTACCTTTAAAGAGGATAGCATAGCTAGCTTACCTTGAAAAAGTAAAGGTATACTATAGAACATACAGCAGGCACACAATAATTTGTCACCTGGGACTTTGTCAAGTGTAGAGAAAGTGATAAAAAGTTAACAAAATGGCTGCTGTCATGGCTATAGCCAACTATCTAGTGTTGCTACATCACTAGGTCAAGTCAAGTCAAGTCAAGTCAAATAATTTTTTTTTCAGATATACAACAATATGTGTACATGAATGCATGAATGGTCTATCTTAGGTTAAGGTTGGAGGGAGTTCTGGAGTTGGTTACACACTGGATTGCCAGTTCCCACCTTCCCAAATTGAAAAGCTTTCTTTAGGTGGATGGTGATCAATAATTTAACTTGTTCTGTAACGATACGTCCAGAGTGCACGCCGATTCAGATTCAGATTTTCGGCACGTGATTAATCTGAGTCAGATATTTTGTTGGTGGCCACAGTGGAAGCAGGAAATACGTTGCCGGTACTTACTCGGTAGCAAAGAAGCAAGTCAGTCGTTGTTAGGAATTGTCGGATGAGGAATTTACGTGTAAAATTATATCGTCTGAAAATGTTGTGAAGTTACAGCCAGTGAAAACTGGTGTTCATGATATTATATAAATCTTTTCCTATAGCTGGAATAAAAATGATAGAGCTTCTTTCTAGGTTTATTGCGATGAATGGAGCCCGAAACCACCGAAACTTGTTATTAAAATTGGACATCGTATTGTAAGAAACTGGTGTAACCTAGATAAACAAAAATCCTGAAGACCGTTTAGTGGTAACCTTAAATGTAAGAATGAAAAAAATTCAATATTTTACTATAAAAACATAATTTATTTAGCTAAATAGTATGGCTCGGAAACCGGCAGCCACTACAACCACTTCCATTTGAATTCAAGTGCTATTTCTGTCGCCGAAAATCTGAATCAGAATCGGCGTGCACTCTGGACGTACCGTAATTCGACAATGCTGACTACCTTATTAGACATTATCAGACACCTTATTATCAAAGGTTTGTGATTTTATCTTTAGAATAGAGTTTAATCTTTAGACCAGGGGTGGCTAAAGATAGCGTGAAATTGCAGAAATATGCTAGGGAGTTTTAAAATGGCTGTGAAAATGGTCATTTTGGAAGGAATTGTGTTTTTGGTGAGTATCCAGTCAAAGAAGACCACTAAAGCACGGGTCACACTAGACTGTTTGCCAGCCGCTGGTGATCAGCATCACCGGCTCACCAATCCAGGCTGAGTCAGCTCAGTGTCAGCTGCGAATTTTGTGGTCACATTAAGCTGACATTCGCGGCTTCTTTCAATTCGCCGCTGATGCCAGCCTAGTGTGACCCGTGCTTAAGATAAAAGAGTTCACACTCCACTCCATAACGCATTTCCGCACTTAACCCTCAATGGCCTCACTCACAGTATTAAAGACATCACCTTCAGTCATTTGGGGATGAGGCGATGAATGTCATCATCAGATATGTTTCTTGTAATCAAAAAACATATCACTGACCTTACCTCGGAGGCGGCAGGAGATTAGATGTTAAAATACCCCCGCCGCAGCAAACCTGCAGACTAACCGAATTTCAACTTGTCTGATTACATTTTTACTAAAATATTTCCATAAATAAGACATATTATTCCCTATTTAAATAACATTAGATTTAACGAGTGCTTAGGTTTGCTGCTACAGGGAAGGTAAAAAGTGTTTTTTGACCATACGTCAATAGTATATAGGATGAAATAAATAAATTTGCCAAATAAATTTGCCAAATACATATTAGTAAAAAGTATCTTATCTATATACCCATAAACAAGTAAACTACAACAATTTTCATTTTCTCCATAAGAATAACATGGGAATTTTAAATTACACTATTTTTGAATTTTCTCCGTGACTGTTAGGCATACAACAGCGCTTCAATATACTAAATTATTCCTTTTTTTAAGCTCTACAAAACGTTTTAGAACGTTTTTTTTTTTTGTTTTTAGGGTCAAAAATGGGAAAAACCCATTTTTACCCCATAAACCCCCGTTCCCATGGTCCGATTATGCTGGATCGCGAACTCGTTAGAATAAACGTAGCTTTACACGTTTGTACCAAATTTCATCAAAATCGGATCATTTTTGCTCGAGTTATCGCTCTAACGGACACACATATATATCAATTTGAACGGATGGTGTTTTTGGCCTCTAGGGACCTCAAAACTAAAAATTAAATCGGTCCCGGGTCCAGGTCTTACCATGAGTACTACGGTAATAGCTTATTCCCTATATGGGAAATTCGCTAAAAACACACAGCAAAGATTACATGACAGCTACAGAGCTGAAATTTGTGTAATTCTGTTCACTAATGATACCAGTAAAATGGTGATTATCCTCGGTGTGGCGTACAAGCGAACTACAGATTTATACGTGAAAACGGCACAGACCCTTACTTAAAAACCACTCTCGTATTTAAATATTTTGAGGAGTCAGTTAAACCAAGGATGAATACAAGAGATTCTACTGAAGGGAGACAAGACCAAAACCGGTTACTAAAATAAAATTTAAAGAAATCATTGATAAAATTATGATATTTACAATTCTCCTCAATTTATCCAGGCATTACTAAAGCAGATTTAATTTTGTAATGCACTCTTATAAATAAAAAATCCAGGCATTTCTAGTACATACATTTAAAACCAAACTGTCAAGTCTCTAAAAGCTGGGCTGATAAGTTATACCAGTACCACTATTGTTTAATATTAATATTGTTAATATTATTGTTAAATCTTAATTTTGTTAAATTTTAATTTTCATAATCTATAATGACTATATAGTTTGTAAACATAGGTTTAAAATTTACTTGGATAAGGATGGTAGAAGTGATCTTTAATATAATGTAGAATCAAGTTTCTTTTTCTTTTAAGGTTTGTATGAGTAACTACAAATTGTAAGCATTTAGTTAATAATAAATTGTGTACTGCGAAGATAATACACCCTCTTATGTTACAATAACTATAGCTATTCCAAACTTCTTTTAGTACATTTTACATTAACTATAATATTATGTTAATGTAACTAGAATTGACAAATTGATTCAAGTTTAGTATTTGATGTTCAAGGGTTGGTATAAGTCAGGACAAAAAGAAACATAGATCTTGTTATCTGTTGTCTTTATCTTGACTAGAAAACAACTAGCAACTAGCTAATCAGTGCTTAGTTGAGTAGAGAGTAACTTCAGGGAGGTTAAACTGTACAGTTCGTCTTAAACACATGATGATAAGCTTGATTTGATCAACTCTTGCAAATAGGAAGAAACAGGAATTTTGCTTTTCAAATGCTTGATGGTAGATAAAAATTACTGTAGACTTGCTCAAGAGAGTGATGTTGAATGTTTAGTTGAACAGAAAAGGATATTAAAACATGGTAAGTAATATTTAATATTTTAGTTTACATCTGTTATCTAAGTAAAGTGTATATTTAAAACTGCATTTTCTGCAATTTATGTATAACACTATTGCTATTATTCATTGTTAACATGAAATAGTTATTTGCCGGTAACTAGTGTGTGAAGTGACAATTTGCTGCACGGCATGTGCGGTAAGTTTCTCGAGTGCAGTAAAGGCACTTTGCTCTCGAGTTACATATTATATTTTTAGTTGAACGGAAATAGCCTGCTTTGTCAGGTAACTGTAGGAAAATATATTTATTTAAGTTTGAAATTCTTTGTGATTCATATTTTAGCCTACAAATTCTGTAGAAGATTATATGGTCCTGGTAGGTAACCTCTATACAGGGTGAATATGTTTAATGGGTCAACATATAATTGTACCCCATTAAATTTATTTGATTCTAAATTTTAAGAAAATTGGTTCATAAAAGGGAGGTAACTCATTTGAAAGATAGGTTACTGTTGATCAAACAATATGAGTGGTCAATGGTCATTATGGTTAAGATCAACACCATACGTTTGAATTCATATAAATGTTACAGGCAAAGTATTATAATGCAGGAATTTTAACTTGCTTAAAGCTTTTAGGCAAAGTATAAAGTATGAAATATTATAATAACAACTAGATAGCCTGTTGCTCGAAATCGAGCAAAACTGCAACTTGTAATAAAATAATGAAGAACAAAAAACATAAACAGCAAAACCTCAATCATAGAGTCGCTCTAAAGTAATTAAATGTGAAAAATATTATGATGTAAAAAATTATAAAAGTAATCTACGGTAAAATATTTAAATATAGATCCATTCTCATACTGCTTTGGTTATCTCTTATGTACTGTGGGCGGGTGTCCTCTATGAGAACTTACATGTCAACCACACACTGTAAAGCTGTGCTGTAAAGTTAGTTTTTCAGACCTAATGTAGCAAGCTAAATCCCTCTCTTGACGCCAACCAGTACGACACATACTATAGCATTGTTAAATTATTTCTACGATATGTTCTGTTTTAGGCGTGTTTAAATTAGGTGCCCCAAACAAAGTCTCCGGTTTGGAACAAAAGAGTGGATTTAATGACGTATCTAGAAGGGATTCACGTTTGACACTATTCTTGTTAGAAAAAAAAAAGATTTATTTGGGCAGGTGGTGCTCTGTTTTCAGCTTTAAAATAGCTGCGACGTCTATACAGGTAGCATCATTGTAGCAAGGGAAGTCACTTATTTTGTCTCTTATGCACTTAAGAATCTAACTTGACTCCTCGGAGCTCTCGTCCCTACAAATTTCTGCCACAGTTTTAAAAGATTGGGCAAATGGGTTGGCATTGTCACCCTACTCCTGCATATTTTTTCGTTTCATTTTTTGTTTGAATTGTTTTACATGCGCTGTTGGGTTCTAGTGCTAACGTCGTACTTAGATCTGTGCGTATTCAGGATCATGACCTTCTTGAGGAATTAGATTACCTACTCAGTGGTAAAACGTGTCATGGATCTTGAAATTGTAGATCCCCCTGTGCGAACTCTCGTCAAAATTAACTTCAGAGCTGACCATGGCAAAGGCGGAATTGAATTGACAAATTTTATCCAGATAATTTCTGTATCCAAGCCTCACAGCCTTGTTTTCAGATTGGGAGTTTCCAATAAGTTCCTGAAAGTATGGTGAATTCCGAAAATGAGGTAATCGAACCTTTCATTTATGGCAACAAAGAGTAAAAATTGAACTGTCTCGGCCAGTCTTTTCTTGCTTAAAATGGAAGCCACCACAATGCAAATATTTAACGTGATCAATTATCAATTATTTAAGATGGGGATGCCACTATGTGCGTATTTTAACCCAAATATGAGTGAAGGATGAGTGTAGGATGAGTGGCGCGATCTTGTAGTCTTGTTAGTGACTAAGGCCGACATGTTAATTTGTCCGAGGTTGGATGTATCACCACGGTGGTACTGCCACTCTGTATCCGTCAAATTGGGAGGTTGATGCAAGCGGTCACGTTTGCGTTCCCTCCAGCCACTCACAGTTCTTTGTCTTTCTTGTGGCATTTAATTTTAAATTTAGATAAAATGCTTAAGTTAACCAATCAACAGAAAACACTAAAAGGAATTTTGATACTCATTGTAAATTACATGATAATATGGTAATGTAAAGGGTAACTGCACTGTGAATAATCACTTTCAAACATTCACTTAATCACGCCGAACTGAAAACAAAACTACCGGTACATGATAATTCAGTAAAATACGATGTAAGGTAAATAAATTTAACATTTACAAACAATTTGTTGTCAGGTCTTGCAAGGAAACTCTTTCTTTTTATGAACCAGACTTAGTTAACAGATGTTTAAATAAAAATATAAAATTCCGGCTTTGCTCTGTAAACAAAGGAAATTGAGTTTGTTGGTTTGAACTATTGTCAACAGATAGCGCCGCCGATCCCAAACTTTAGCCCTTAACTGTACTTAAGTGCTGCCCTTTCTTAATATTCTGGCACATCTACATGAAAATACCTTTAATTTGACACCTCAAACGTTAAAATCCGTCCAGCCGTTATCGAGTTATGACTGTGAAAAGAAACCTGCTTGCGTATTAATATATAGATTTGATTTTATTCACTTTGACTAGGCATAAAGGCATTGTGTATGTCCACATGTGTGCCAGGCAAAGTGAAAGTGTTAGGAAGTATTTAGCATATTAAGATAAATTATTGTGTATAATTAGATTAGGTTGGTTAATTTTAGTCAACTCTAGAATATACTTAACAGAGTACTGTCCTTCGTACGGGGTTGGTGTATAAGAGTGTAGGTAACATGCTATTGCAGTTATACTCATGTTTTGAGTTTGCAATGGGGTGAAAAGTGGTTTTGGAAAATTTGGTTATTAAAACCATAGATAAAACATACTCCCTTAGTAGATTTCTCATATGGAACAGCTGAAGACAATTTTATTGTTAGTTCTGTACGGTTTATGTAGAGGTCGTGTTTTGTTAACAATTTGTTTCCCGTTATTACAGCCATTTAAAACCTCGTTTAAACAAATAATACGATCTAATCATAAACAATAACTTGTCCCCTAGTTATATAACCAAACAGTAAAGCACAAATCAAGAAATTAACCCTAAAATAATAGAAACAAAGTTTCGTCGACACTAGTGCCCATGTGTCACATACATGAACTAGACACGAAAAATGTGCTTCAAAATTTACAATGGGATGAGAAGTCTACTTGTGTTGGTTAGTCTATGTTAAAACTATTGAGATTGTTAACACATCTACCATAACCATGTTTTACCACTGCACCTATAAACTATAGAAAAAAATGAATGATCAAACAGGGTGGTCGCGAATAAACGTTAAACATTTGATTGGAATTTTGAATTTCTTATGTTATTTTAAAACTTTCATCAACATTTAACAGTACCATCGCGTTCTCCACAAAACTTTGTATAAAAACACATGTATATCAACTTGCCTAAATCTGCATTGCTACTTATAAATTTGAATAGAAATAAAAATTTGAGTTTTTCAAAAAAATATTAAAAAATTTGTAAACATAAAACTTTATTAAAAAAAGGTTTCAAAGAGCAGCAAATACTTTTAAAAACTGCTCCATAATCTAAGCTTTCAAACAATACCATAAAACGTAATATTTGATCCCGATATATGTCCGCTATTCAAGTTTGAATGGCGTGAAACACAGGTTATCCAAAACATTTTACTATTAAAAACAGTAAAACATGGGTCTTTTTAACCTACACATACATACCAAGTTTCATAAAGATCGGTTGAAAAAATTAAAAGAAAATGTTTATGTAAAAAAATACAAAATGGCGGTTAACAAAGCTATTTTGTGAAAAAATTTATTCTTGATTTTCTCTTTATTTTCACCCAAGGAATCACTATGGATGGAATCACATATGGACTCCAAAACCGCTCGACAGATTGTAATGAAACTTTCAGGCATTATTAAGCAATATTCAAGGATGGTTTGTGTGAAGTTTGGCGCAGATCCGTCAAAAGGGCTCCGCCCCAGTGGCTCTGGAGATTCCCATGTTAACCTTATGAGTACTCATATTTAAATGGAATTAAAGAATCTTAACAGCTGGTTCAACTAAACAATTTGATTCTCTGATGTTCAATAGCATTAAAAAGTTAATAGGTTTACCAACAGAGTGCAGCACTATTATTAGCGAATTTCATATATAGGGAATATTAGCGAATTTCCTATATAGGGAATCAGCTATTACCGTAGTACTCATGGTAAGACCTGGACCTGGGACCGATTTACTTTTTCGTTTTGAGGTCCATATAGAGGCTAAAAACACCATCCGTTCAAATTTATATATATATATGTGTCCGTTAGCACGATAACTCAAGCAAAAATGATCCGATTTTGATGAAATTTGGTACAAACGTGTAAACCTACATTTATTCTAACGAGTTCGTGAACCAGCATGATCGGACTATGGGAACGGGGATTTATGGGGTAAAAATAGGGTTTTCCCATTTTTGAACCTAAAAACACAACATTTCACAATTTCTTTCCAAACGATTTTGTAGAGCTTAAAAAATAAACAATTGAGTATATTGAAGCGTTATTATGCGCCTATTGGTTACGGAAAACATTCCAAAAAACTGTAAATTTAAAATTCCCATGTTATTCTTATGGAGAATAAGTCAACGGTTGTAGTTTGCTTGTTTATGAACATATTTTGGAAAATACATTCATTTCTTACTAAACTATTAAAATTTTACAAAAAAAAATGACTTTTTACCCTCCCTGTTACAGCAAACCTGTGGATGTAGTTTTACAATGAGCTTGTGCTACGGTCTACACACGGGGACTATTTTTACATCTTACATTCATATAGTTATATTTATTTTGTGTTAAAATAACTTTATTAAGGTTAGCATAACCCAAACATAATAGTACAAACAGTCGAGAACCCCTGAGTAAAATCAAATATCCATAGCAAATTTATCTGTGTAAGTTAAAGAACATACAAAGTATCCTTTAGTCCCCTCCCCCCTTTAGTTCTTTGAGTTTTTAAAGATTTGTACCTTAAATGGCAATTTTACAATGAATAGTTTTCTGCAAGGTTTCTTATCAAGACAAATATTTTTAAGTAGAGGTTTCATAGGGTGTGTTCCAGACCGCCTCGTGTATAATCCAATTTTTGAAAGTTGAAGTTATATGCAAGAGGTTAATTTTTCTTTTAATCTGTCCAAGTAATCCTAAAGTTGTCTGTAGGGCAACCAGTTTCGACGTCTATGGTTGGTCTAAGGAGGTTGCGATTTTAAGTCCAGCTTGACAATGACGCCATACCCGTTGAAACCGGTCGCCCTACAGACGACTTAAGCATTATTTGGACAGAATAAAGGTAACTTAACCTCATGCTTATCATTTGTGAAGTAATCCAGAAGGCAATACACAAAATAAATATATGTTGAAGGTCGTTAACTTGTATTTTCTGAAACAATTCTATTTCCAGGATGATGAAGATGTAAAACAGTATCTGGATCAGGTAGAGAGGATCGCTCAATGCCCAGTGTGTCTGGAGTTGGTCAGAGCGCCAGTCGTCTTGTGTGTCAACGGACACGTAACTTGCGGCCAGTGTAGGAACAATGCTGCCAACTGCCATGTGTGTCGTCAACCGTTCAGTAATGTCTCTCCCAGGGTCTTGGAGGAGCTGCTGTCAGCGTTGCCACAGCTCTGTCCTAATGAAAGGTGTGGGGTTGTTACCTTCTTGGATAATCACTCCAAGTATTGTGTTTACAGACAGATAAAGTGTAGAGTTGCCAATTGTCAATGGTCTGGAGCCGTCATCGAGTGGTTTGAACACATCAACAACATCCATACCTCTCAAACATCTAATCTATAAAAGAGTACAAACTAAATGTGGTCATTACATACTTGTCAATCACCAGTTTCCTAGGCAATTGGAAATGTGTTTATTACAATCATGTAGTTGAAGACCAACATTTTATTATGAAATGTTGGAAGAAAGGAAACGATCTCTATCACAGCTTCAGACATGTTATGTGTGAGAGATCTAGTGTTGAGTACAGAGTTATAGTTGAGTACAAGCGTGGTCAGCAAACTGTGTATAGAACTTTGATTGAAGTCCAACCATATGAGGATGATGAGTCCATGGAGACCAATGCAGCTGTTTTTCTTATTGATGAATTGAAGGAACTGGTTAATGAGGATGGCCATTTGCCAATCTTTATTACAGTAAAAACTCTTTCTTCTAAGGGAGAGTAAAATAACTGTGTGAAACTTGCTGTTGCATGTTTGTTTGACAAATAACATAATACAAGTGATGCATGTATTTTTGTTAATCAGAGGTATAGTATATTATTTTCTTGTTTAGTATTCAATGAAAACCTCTTTGGGAAATGGGAATGTTGTTTAGCTTTACGGTAAAAGCCATATTATACAATAAATAAATATGTTTTTTCCTTGAAATTTTGTAATCTGTGTAGAATTTTTCCCTTTGAACCCATAAACCTACCTCAAATTCTGTCAGTCTTAGGGGTTTTTTTTGCATATTTTGTGAATAACTACAATAGTTAACTTACTCTATAAAAGAATAATAAACTAATTTTAAATTTACAATTCTTAAAAATTAGGATTATTATGTACAAGGATAGGGATCAGCTAGCTTACCTGGTAGATAGAGTCCAGATTAGCCTTGATTACACATAAAACACATGACACAACACAGAAAAACTTAATATTTCGTCCCAGTTAGGGACTTCATCAGAAGGGAGAAGAAAGAAAAAGAAAAGGGAAAAGAAAGAAAAAGAAAGAAAAGATGTTTTCTTTCTTCTCCCTTCTGATGAAGTCCCTAACTGGGACGAAATATTAAGTTTTTCTGTGTTGTGTCATGTGTTTTATGTGTAATCAAGGCTAATCTGGACTCTATCTACCAGGTAAGCTAGCTGATCCCTATCCTTGTACATAATAATCCTAATCAGCCAATTGGCCTTTCCTTAACTCCTAATTCTTAAAAATTGTCTCTGTTACCATTAAATGCACAACACTTTAATAAACTCAATTATTTGATTTTTAAGCCGTACATTGTCATTGTGGTTTAAAACGCCCATTAGTTATCCCATTAAATCCTGTTCTCCTAGTCTGATCATGCTCAGGGCCGCAGCTACACATTTTTCTAGGGGGGAAGTCCTAAATTTGCCACCCTTTCACTATGCAACTATGGATTTTGATGATACTTTTATTTAAGTTATTAAATCTCAATACATGAAGTTCCTCAATAATTAAAATAGATTTTTTCTTGATTTTTAGCTGCAAACATCTTGATTATGTCATAAAATTAAATTACACCTTACATATTTTAATTAAGATGATACTTGCTGAGTCTTTGATCGTCTTGTCTAATGTTCAGTGGCGGATCCAGTCAGGAGTCGAGGGGGGAAAAGAATTGCCTGCGATCGCGGCAAAATCGTTAACACCTCCCACTCACTATTACGGGAAATCGTTATTGTTACACTCTACAGTAGGAAGGGGTAAATTAGTGGGAAACAATGCTGTAATTAGTTAGTTTCAGCCTCCCATTTAAAATCATTATCCAAGTCCAAAGTTTCCCACTAATTTATTTTCAACTAGGGCCAGCAGCATGTGTCTAAGGAGGACAAGAAAGAAGTGGAGGACTCTTAGAGAGTTTGAAGATGGGGCTTGAAAATACCAGCTTTTTATTAATTTAAATAGCAATTTTTTATTATCTTTCCATGTAAAAAAAAAAATCATTTAAGGAAGATAAGTTTTCTTTAAGTCCAATATGGTGGCCAGTGAGTTGCTGTTAAAAACACAGTTCCAGTTGAACACACACTAAGATAGTAAGTGTGTTTAAGTATTTATAAGGTGAGTACCAGTAGGCTAAGTATATGGCTATCTAGTGTACATTTAAAAAGGAATGCAAGTATATTTTTGTTTACGGGCCAGTTATAAATAGACAACAGCATACTTATGACAAGATTTATTTTTAAGTGATCACAACAAAAATCCACATAGTAAAAAAAGAAAAGATTAAAACTAAAACACATTTGAGTTAATACGAAATATACAAACTGTCTCGGCAACAGTTAATTGATCTAGTCTTCAATGATTGGACAAAAGAGAAAAACTTGAAGTTAGTTTCACGTTACAGAACAACACTACGGACCCTGTAGCCACCGATCTCTATTGTGCTAGACTGTTACAATCCGAACAAATCACTTTAATAATTAGTGTTATTATACCCTTATTTTAGAAATGAATTACATTCAAAAAGAGCTGTACTTAAAACCTAGATTGTTGCTGCTGCTGTTTGAATATCCACCACCTCGGAATTTGCTCCCCATCCCTGCAACAAACAGCACAAAATTTCAAAGACAATTAAACTGTGAAGTTTCACAAAGAGTATAAATCAAAGATTTTTGGAGTACTTTTTTTACCAGAAACATAAAGTGATTTTAAAAATAGAGTCATGGAATGATTGTTGGTTATAAGGGGGGAAGTCAAGTAGTTTTATCTTTTCTGATAAGTTTAACAAGCTACCTTTTACGTCTTAACACACACATACTCTTCCGCCAGCTTAATCAAATGGGGTTTCATACTGTACTGTAACGAGTTTTTACCGGACACCAAACAGCTGATTATACTGTATTTGGCAATGAGTGGTTATAAACAAAAACATAACTTCTTGTAGAGGTTATGACTAGTAATTGTTAGTCCTTTAGTCAGTGGTAATATATACGCATTTGTACAGATTTAGTAGTATGGTGTAAAATATCGTACGTCACTCTTCCAAAATGTGTTTACCGGACTCGTATGGTAATCCTGTACTCGACTTTGTCTCACACTACTCCAGTAAACACCTATTTTCAGGACTAGTAACGTAATATAACTATTACGCCACACTACACTGTTTTAATGAACTTCCCACGCAAGGATTTAATCAAGAAAACAGCTGTTTGCCACCAGCTTAATCAAATGAGGTTGCATTACATACTACTGTACTGTAATGAGTTTTTATCTGACACCAACCAGCTGATTATATTTAAAAACATAACCATGAGTAGTGATTGTCCTTTAGTTGGTGGGGATAAAAGGGGATTTGTACAGAGATTCGTTATTGTTCAGTTAGCTTAGAGTAGTATCGCGTAAAATATTGTACGTCACTCATACAAAATGTGTTACCGGACTCGTATCGTAATCCTGCACTCAACTTCGTATCCCACGGGGACGACCACACTCGTCTGGTTAACACCTATTTTAAAGGACTAGTAACATAATGAACTATTACAAATCTTGATTTAGGCTACTTGTAAATGTATATTGTCTCACCATATCCGCCACCGCCTGGGGTGGAGTTGAGGAAGAGTTCGATGTAGCGATGTTGCATGTGACTCTTGTCTTTGGACATGGCTCGCAGTGCGTCGTCGTGAGATGCAAATTCTACATCCGCCTCTCCACTTGGCCGCCCGTTGTCATCATACACTATGCGAATGTTCACTGGATTTACCGGTCTGAAGAACTGCAACCAAACACGATAAATATTTTGGTCGGGTTATGTTTCTAGTATGGAAACTTGTTTGTACAAGATAAAACACCAGACATACTTATATTCCAAATATTTTACACCCTCCGAATATAATTTTATTCAGATGAATTATAACTTCAACACAAAGTATAAAGTTGATAGTGTATTTTAGCAATTAATAGTTGAAATATGTAGAAACGAAGAAGGAATAGTAGCTGGCTTACCATTACCTTAGAGGAAGTATAGGTAGGCCAACACAGATAAGACATAAAACACACAATATCTCGTCCCTTTGGGAACTTTAAGTGTAGGTACGACATGAAGAGTTATAGCTGTAATGTAAACTACACAGGGGAGCGAGCTGGTGTAGTGGTTAGAGCGCGGGACTTCAGTCCCTGAGGTCCCGGGTTCGATCCCCGCCAATTCACCAATGGATTTTATCTAAGTGATAATGCCGCAACCCCTAGGTCTAGTCTTAAGTAATGTGAAAAACAATCCTAGGCTTGTGCCTAGCATCCTAGGACAAAAAAAAATGTTAACTATAACAGTGTTGCCACTTTTTACTAGTTCCCTAACAACCAAGTATAAAAAAAAATATTTATATACACCTAACATACAGAGTGTCCCATAGAGCGGTTGCTATTTTTAAATTAATTTACCAGACGTCTATTGTGTGTAAAAAAATACCCACAAGCCTCATTTGATTTTGATCAGGACAAAATGGCAGAATAACAAAATAAGCAAATGAACCAAATTAATTTCATTTATAATTTGCCACTGTCCTACATCTTCAAATACTAAAAATTTTATTAATATGAGGAACAATGTAAAACAAAATCAAGGATTAACTTAAAATTGGCATGTAAAATCACTTTACTAAAAACACACTACAGTATTATTTTATGTTCTGACATTTTGTTCTTATTGGTCGGAATCAAGTGGGACTCTAGGATTTTTTTTATACGCTTGTTGCAGCTGTGGAATTTCAAGTCTGTAGTATTTTCAATGTGTCTGGATTCAAAAAAAGCAATCTCTTCCTGGAACACCATATGAACAGGCCTGTTTTGCATTTAGGTAGCTGCCCTAGATAGGTTGAGGTTGGAAGAGCTCTGGAGTTGGTTACACGCTGGACTAGTTCACATCTTCCTAACATGGAAGGGTTGCAATAATCCTTTGATTTTTTGCCTTTTGTGGTGAAGCAGCTACCAAAAGCTGTGTTTGTTGGCATATGAATGGCAACTGATTTTCTTTTCCTGTTTCAACATACTGTCGTCGTCGAATTATCCTCTCCCTTCAGGTGTTTTTGTCATGCCAAATTGGGCATGGGCATTGTTGCCATCTAGTCAATACTCAATAGCCTATAATGGCTATTACGGACCTTTTCCGTTAATTCACTACCACTTGTGGAATGTGGTTAGGTTAAGTCAAGTTTTTCCAACTCTGACATGGTACCGGTAGTGAATAAAAAGAAAATGTCTGATATTTTGATTCAAAAATTGGCCATGACTTGAACATGGGGGTGGAATGTCTAGGTTCTACTTACATCTGCAATGTCAGTCTGTTGTGCTCGGAAGGGTAGTCCTCGCATGTGTATACTGTGTTGTCCACTGTTGTTCCAACCCCCTGAGTTGTTCATGCCTCCACCATAAGGTCCACCCTTTGGTCCTCCACGACTCTGCATTCCCCTCGGCCCATTGCCATTACTCCATGGCCCATTGCCTTCCCATCCACCATCATCAAAGTCACCATAGCCTGTGATGAGAATTTCAAATAAACTTTTTGTAATTTAACCAGTTTTCTTCAAACAAAAGAAAAATATGTTTTTTTTTTGTTTGTTTGTAACACTGACTT